ATATTCGGTAACAGCACTTAGCGATCGACGTCTTTAAAAAATCCCTCAAACTAAACTTAAAAAAATGTTCGAAGTGGTAAGTACCTACCTAGGTAGGCTAGCCTACCTATCAACATCTTGAAGACGACTCAATTGTGATGATTGAGACGATTAGATTATCGATATTTACCTTATCATCATCAGCATAAAACATTAGTTCCAGCAATCTGATCCAGAGTATCTAATAGTCATTGGGAGACCCTTATGTTCAGCAGTGGTTATCTTGCACCTTTTGGCTACTGTGATGATGATCAGTAATAAAAAAATATTATAGATTTATTTACGTATAAGTACCTAAGTATAAGTATACAAATAACAATTAATATTAAAGTTATCTTAAAACAATTATTTTTATAGGAATTGCAGAGCGTTTCTATAGCATACGAATACCGCGCACAGTGGCTGAAAATAAATGCGGTTATATGGATGACCGTCGACCCCCTTCAAACTGTGACCCTTATCAAGTGATCGAAGCTCTAATGGGCACTGTTATACTTAATGAATAACAGCTGTCTTCATTAGCTACACCGCATCTCTGAAATAAGTTTTGTCCATAGTTTGAACATTTTGTATGCTGATGTAACTGGAAAACTATTAAAATATGCTGTATATTTGACATTATTTTATTTTAAACCTGAGGTAAGGATTTTGAGTGACTTACTATTGAGAATAATACCAAAATTAAACAGCTCTTCCGAGCGACATCCACTATAAACCAAGCTCGTCCTTTCTTGTTATACTTCTAATAATTTACACTATACACGTTAGACAACTATGTGCAATGATACAGACAAGATATTTTAGTTACTATGTGTACAATGTGTGTGTTGTATACCTAATTACATCAGTCACCATAAAATATGAATGTATCCGATGAAAATATTGGGGATATGAATTTAGATTAATATGATTTCTATGTTTCATAGAATTTCAATTTATTATTTCTTTATCATCATTTATCATCATCACATGTTAATGAAGTATGTTAATTTAAAATTGTCATAGTGTTCATATATTAAGGTGTGGGTTGGAAATAAAAAGATTCAACACGTACGGACATTCAGATATTTATTATTGATAACTTATCAATCTCTAAAATGACAATCAGAGAGGTAAAATTATTAGATTAAAACATGATCAACGCCAGTAAAACAAACATAATGAACAACAAAATCATATGACACGGCAATTGAAAACAGGTATAAGAAGATAAAGTATTTCATTTCATAGATTATAATTCAATAACATACAATAAAATAAAAATAAACCATGTGCGAACCTCACAAAGATTATCATACTAAGAAGATTATAATAAAATAGACATTAAACATCTAATGATCGGTTATACAGTACCGATATACACGTAAGATAAAATGTAATACTATTTCTTTACTTTATTAAATATCATAAAACACCGACTGTTATACTGCAAGGACTGTTCCGACGAAAATGTGATAAAATGTTAAAATCCACTACATATATAATGATGCCGTTTACCATGTGCTCTCTGCAAGGCCGATTAAATCCGCAAATAATTCTATTATTTATCCCTCGCGTATACATTTCCCAAATATTTTATTCATTCTTTAACAGCACAATGTAATAAGAGCCCAACCTCTCACGGCAATAATATCTTAAAATATTCCTAGAGATAACATTGAAAGTCAAAAAATCGTTTGCTTTGCTTTCCTCAAGTGCGTCTATTCCATCCTACTAGCTCCCCGCATCCTACCACGACGGCGCGCTTGCGCTTACAGCACATGCCAGTGGTCTACTAACAAACCTTTGCTCTGCGTAAATTTGCAGAGCGCTAACATAACTACTAATGCGGGTGCTATGCGTTCGTGACCCTTATTGGGTTCTAGTCCCCAGCACTGTTGGGTTTGTCCTCTTCCACTTCAACCAACGCAAATGTTTCTGTCCGACATTCAATCAGTAATTCAATCAATGACTGCCAAACAAGCTGCCAAGCTTTTCTTATCCAAACTAACAGGAAAAGCACGATTGCACGCTGCAAAGATAACTATAATAGACACCTATGACACATGAATGATTATCTGTTGCATTAAACATTAAATCTATTACGATATCGCTGAAGCTACATCAACAATGTCATTTTTGGAACCACATTTTAGTCCTCGAGAGACTCGGCTGCTTTCAAATCGAAATACAATATGATCCAAAAATGTACACTGGATCATACTAAACAATAAGCACACGAAAATTTCATGATAACATCAATCTGACCGGAATTATGAAGTGAATACCAATTTCAAATGCTTAACACTATTGTTGATAAATAGACAATCATTATAATTAATAGTATTGTAAAGATCCCCGCAGACTACCAAAATTATCGTCCAATAGTTGCCCCATTTTATTTATGGGCATGAAATCTCTATAATATGCGAACAATCAGAACATTATTTATCGTATTTCAATTAAAATACGTATTTCAAATCAGCCTCAACTATCGGCCAATAGAAAGTAGTCTGCAGAGCACCTAAGGAATTCAATGTAATGGAATATATTCCACTATATAAGAGTCAATCAATGCATGTAAATTAGAAGACAGTAATGTCAAGGATTAAAAACAATAAATCAATTACAATAGCTAAATTATATAGCGTTCCTCCATTTTCTGTTAAAGTTAATTCCATAATTCGCGTGATAACTGTTGTGTTAAATGACGACGCAGTGCAATACGTGTGAGGCAACTTCAACAAATGTGGAACAAAAGAGCCAAGTAATAGCAGCATCACTAATTTATGTGGCAACGACGTAACATGCATCACTCTAATAAAATAATGTTGGTTTAAAAAATTAAGTAGTTTCAATTATGTTATAATCCAATGTTTAGGTATAATTTTATAATGATTATTAAATACAAAATTATTAATATAATGCAAATATCCACACAACTAAGACGATATGACTAGTATTAGTATTGATAGTTAGTAGAAATATGATATCAAAATATTAATTAAACTGGCAACGGAAACGGGACGGACCGATGTAGATGTATCGTGATTTTGAGACCATGAATAAAGTGTTAAGAAAAGATGTTATGCAAGTGTATTGGTAAGAGTTACATCAATGCCCATGTAATACGACACATCATCGATGTAATTGAATAAAGTTGTATGTATGCCAACAGTTGGTGTTTACAGACAATAGAAAAGATAAAACAACCAACATAGGGTTTGTGTGGTTTTGCCGTGGACTGTAGTGAACACAATTAATTTTCCGTTTGTTTCGTGTTAATTATATTAATAATATTTATTAACATTCAGCTGCCATCGCAGATAAAACGTGGAAATCCGTTGGACTTCCTCAGTACATAATGTGTGCAACCCACTCTTGCTGCTACTATTTGGTGGATGCTGTGCATCGGCCTAATATTATATAAATATCAGATTGCTCCCCGCAGCATGAAAGACAACCTGATTTATAGAATCTTTATAAAAATTTTATTAAAAATAAATCATATCGCCCGACGACATAAATAAAATAATATACTCATTTGAATTGTAACAAATGAGGAACATACCTAATTTTTGTCTCAAAGTTAAAAATATATTATGTAACTTCCATACGTTTCAAAAGAATAATTTTATTATGTTACTACAATAAAGGTCATGCAACTTTTGCTCCATTTCACTATTCGAGAATTTCCCAACAACTAAAAACAACTATTCAAGTTACTAAGCTACCTATATTCACCACAACCTTCACACAATCGCTGACGCTATTCTAAATCATTTGCAAATACATCCAACGACTTTTCCGATCGAAATCGTAATTCAAATTTCTTAACACCTCGAATATCGTGGCTCTTTCTCTCACAATTCGAATAGTAAATTGAGGCAAATCGTGTCAAGTGCACGCCTTGATCATGCTAACACTAACAATTAAACACTATCCTCCAAGTCCTTACGGAGCTTAAAATAAATTTATTTAGACCAAAAAAAAACATATTTACCAATATTTTGTAATACGTCAAATAAATAAAAATTAATATATTATAAACTTATTATTATAAACTGATTCTGTCAAGTTCGAACTATATTACACAATACAGATCATATTCTTACAAAGCACAAAACGAAAATTGAATCAATAATCATAAACATAACGACAGCTGCCATCAACTAAACGATCACTGAGTTTTCGTGTCAAGTGTAGCCTTATTTTATACACTAGTATTAGGAAAATACGCTTAGACGACTCTAAAGGGGGATCAAGGTTCACAAACAATGATATAGATCTTGTTTATGTTCTCAAAATGTATCGTAACCTAAGAGCCGACCAACACCATGGAATATATATCTTTGTGTTATATATTTCATCGTTCAAATATATGGTGGTGATTAGCTATACGAGATCAAAATGGTAATCGCCATAGATAGCAGATTTATGTTCTCCTGAAAATGAAGACCAAAGTTACAGTATAGGTCGAAATATAGACTTGCTGGTCAAACTCAGAAAACGTAGTATTCTCGAATTTGCCATGAAACTCAGATAGTTAGAAAAACATTAAAATACTAGTATTTATATATTAGAGGTCTCTTGAGTTAAGATGTTTCGCAAGAGATGGTGGTCAGCCCCAGGGTTGTAAGCTCGATATACATCAATCTTGATAGAAATGGTATTAGTTCTAATCTAGTACAGATAAAATTTCGCTTACATTTACCGGCACATGCCACCCATAATTTACTTATTGTACTAACACAGTGATTCCTTAGGTCATGATAATAATGATAAAATTTAAAAGTTTTTGGCTTGTGACAAGTCCATGTGTGTAAGGTTGCCATAACTACTAGTTACGGACCAAAGTAGTTGATCTTGATATACAATAAACTCGCTCCGACGATGGCGGTCAGTGTTACACACATGGTGATCCTGCAACACCGGCGCTATTCACGCAGTCGAGGATTGATCTCCTCGAAAAACTCCGTTAGTTAGTTGTCAGGGGACGAGGAGAGAGGGGGGCTGTAGGCGGTGTCTCGGGCCGCGTAGCGGGCGCAGTTGTCGATCACAATGTATGCCAGCTTCTTGATCGGCTCGTAGGGGCGTGGGTGTTGCAGCAGCTCATTAAGCAGGCGCAGGCCTCCTTCGGCTTCCACCAAGGTGCAGTACTTGTCGGCTGAAATAATATATGTATAATTGAGTTTAACCTTTTGAGTACCGTTATTATAGACACAATTAAAGAACAATAGGTTGTGGCCACCGGTGTCCTCGCGGTGTTTGACAGTTAAGTTATATAACAATGTAGGCATTATTGCATGTATTTTTACCTATTATATACCTAGTGGACGAAGAAAAGCAAATTGACGTTACGTAATATTTAACAAAATACTCACGGTAGACAGTTGTCAAATTGGCGAGAGCCCACACAGCCCAGTGTTGGCATTGTGGAGTGTGATGAGCGTGCAAGAGGCTTAGGATCGGTTCGAACGAGCGGTAGTTAATATTGCGCTCGGCACGCAGGTCCCAGCGCTCGACGGCGGCGGCCACGCGCTGGAGCACCATGTCTCGGGCAGGCTCCGACACGGTCCAAGCCCGTGGCCCATCAGAAGCCATGTGAGCAAGCACACCGGCAGCGTTGTAGCTTACCTGTCAATCAATCTCTAATTTATTTCACATCTAAACATTACAATAAGCAACCATTTTGTTGTTTATTCCTTTTCGCATGCTTTTGAGTAGGTTATTATTTTCATTTAGTAGGTATCATAAATTCGGAGATTTAAGACACCATGTAATGAAAAAATAGACACAGAAGATGATGAACAATGGTAAGAAATGGTTGATTGTCAGAGTTTATCGCAATGTCAGTTGGCTGCATATAATGCAGCAACCAATGACTCATCCGGATATTTAAGCCTTTATGTTTTAATTTTCATGGCATTTTGATTCAGAGCCTGTTTCACAATATCTGGATAGCCATAATATCTGGTACCTAGCTACCAGATAAATTTGAATTAGGTACATATTTTTATAAACTATCATATAATATGCCACATAAGTTTAAAGGGTACGTACTTATTTGAGGGTGGCGAAACAGGAGCTTGGACGTTGGAATTAAATTAATCCCATGTTATTTACCGCAAAAATGAATGAAAAATGAGGGTTTCATAGTATAAGATAAATATACAGCAATTACTTAATATACAAAAATTAAAGCTTATAAAAATAAAAAGCTGAACGTGGGTGATACACGCTTAAAATTACGAATCTTTGCCTCGTATGTGGGCATGATCACAGTAAGATCATACCTCATGATGGCACATAATGTCGAAACTCGACTACTCAACTTTAAGTTGCGCTTAAGTCTATCACTACAAATCTTTGTCGCTTTGACTGAGATGGTACGATATTTAAATACAACTTAAAATTGAGTAGCCTTTCAGTTTTTGGGCGTTGATAAGATAACTGGTGGACACAGTATCACGTAGTGCACATATCATTTATTATTTTAGCCACTTAGATAGTGCATATACTGAAGAATCAATGTACCCGAATATTCGAATAATATTTAGAAACAACAAAAGATCAAACTTACAATCTAAGTCTTGAAAATTTTTCTTCTAATTTACTTTATCTAGATACATTTATTCTGCAATATTTAATGATAAGCAACTTACTTGACTTCATCAAGAAGAAGTTTCTATAAAAAAAAGTATTCTTGCAATACAAAGTCATCAATCGCAGGTCGCACCAGAACTGTAATGTTCTGTCATAGACAATGCAGATATTCGTCTTTAAAGCATAGTGTACCACACATCTAGTTGTAGTGTACCCCTCTGTTAGGAAACCACGCTTTAGATAATTATACCAATCTTATCACTATAATATCAATTGAACTTAAACTATTTCTTATACTAATGATAAAAAGAAGAGATGGAAGACTTCCAGTTAAATCGTATTATCTTCTTAAGAGTTACTCAAAAAATAACATAAATTAGAAAAATTAAAAAAAATACGTTTTCAATGTTTTAAATAGATATCTAAAAATATTCGATTAGAATAATCAAACCAAATCACGTTTGAGTATATTTCGATTCAGACGTAAACTTTAATTCGTTTTATCTAGAAGACCTTCTTGATTTATGTACATGAATGCAATAATTATTATCTCCATCTCTTCTTTGAGTAAATAAGCCAGATACTAATAATAAAGGGGACAAGAGTCTCAACCCTAATAAGGTAAGGACTGAACATTAACTTAGGTTCAGCAAATACTTCAATTTCACTGGCTTACTTTACTAAAAGATTAAATTTAAACAGACATTTACATTTTATTATAATATTTTAACATTCACTTACAAATTAAAATTAAAACCTATTTTATGAAAATGCAACAAGAGTATTAATTTTACTGTCTAGAGTATAGCGAAACCAGGGTTCGGAGGACATAATTATATCAATGGATACATATCATGATACATATCCGAAATAATAATTACATTCAATGACTTTTTGTGATGTATATCAATTTTGTCTAATCTAGAAGAAAATTTTGTTTTGTTTTAAGTACCTCCCTTGAAAAAGAACAACATTCGTTCATACAAAGTGAAATATATCAAACTATATGTATATCGGATATATATCATAAATTTCCGATATTTTGAGATTTATTACAAATCCGATATTTTCATATTTATCGTAGCAATTGGGGTTCCATGGCCTTTGCCTACCTCGTCCCTCCCCATGGGGGACAGGTGTGAAGTTATGTATGTTATTATAAATATCGGATATTTTCGAGCTCTGAGTGAAACTGATAATCTTGTCGTTTTCAGAATGTCTTTACACAATAATGAAAAACACCAGTATGATCAACGAAATACATATATTTTATTTAAGTTTTTTATTTTACTAAAACTGAACCAAGTTATGAATTGAACATGTAAATGAAATAAAACAAATCTACAATTTATTATCTTAACTGAAATGTAAAGACAACCAGGTAGTCGAAACCTGATTCCCAGATTAATTTTTAAAACACTTGTTTACTCATGATGCTATTCATTTTCATTTTAGTCACCATTGATAGTTTTCTTTAATGTCTTATAGTAAATAAGAAAACTTAAATAGTTATTATATTAGCCTTAATGCTATTTTTATTATATATCCCACCTCACTGCGTGCGCCGTGCCATGATCCGCGGCGCCGCATATCGGTGACAGACGGTTCGTTGAGCAACCACGGCCGCCCGCGACGAGCCTCGCGCTCTGCGCGCGGCCGTCTAGCTCGTCCCCTCTGCACTCGGTACAAGTTTCATAATAATACAATTTAAACTACTACTTTCATAACTTTTTATAAAAAACGTAATAATTGTGCATAACTTCCTATTTGGGTTGGTGTTAAAACATAAGTTCTTTAAGATGCAATCTATTAAAAATAGCTATTCTCTTACCCGATTGCTTCTGCTTGGCCTAGATAAGCACTAGCTATACTTAGAACTTTGACTCTTTTTAAACTACATGTTTCGCCATGTAAATTCAATATTATTGAGTACCTCGTTTGTTATTATATCCACAATAACGAGTGTACAACAATCTTGCCGAAATTATCTACATACATCTACAAAGAGGGAGTTCTAGATACATCCTGCATTCTTATATTGAAATTGTTGTCAAATGAACATTTGATAATGCGTATTGCTTTAAATTCGGCAAACTGCAGTCCACGTAAATCCTCCTTTATTATTTTCAATGCTTCAGAATTTGCAAGCCCCGTTAAAAATAAGGCCTCAAGCAGATTTTATTTTAAATGATTATACCTAATTAATAACTTAAAGCATATCGACTATCTACAACTTAATGTTGGGTTTATTGGTAAGGTGTTTGAAGTAACTACGTGAGCAGAAGCATTAGCTCGTAATTCCACAGTGGACTTACGCCTTGAATTATTTGTCGCTTGCTGCAGTAGCCATACCTTGTGTTCACATATCCTGCAGGTCGGAAAATGCTGGCTTCGTGTCGTTTTACCACGTTGATGTCCTGGCCCCAGCGTCAGTAGGATGTAGCGCCCAGAGAGATAAATACAACTACTACATCTTTGAGGGATTACCTTGTGCTGAGCTCCACGAGCTGAATCAATTGCACGACGTAGACATCAGAAGCGAATCTGTGCGACTGCCTCCATCACCGTCGCGCGTTTCTCATTTTCTTAGCAGGTATTTCAATCAAAAAATCTTTACAAATTCTGGTCATGATTACTGTATCTTGGTTCCTGCATGTATTTATTGTATGCAGATTACAAAATAATCTACACTTCAAAAACTTATTACTTGTCTTGTTGTGTTGACAATAGGTTTCGAACATTTGCAAATGTTCATTATAACTATGGATATATTTAGTAATGCAATATTACTATTTACGGTATTTTACGTACATAGAGTGGTAAACTTAAAACGACCCACATATTATAAGTTTGTACAACAAATATAATCTAAGCTGGTTTTTTAAAATGATTAGTCAGTTAGTTTTAGGAATAGTTAGAATTGATTTACTTTAAAATTACAGTCGTTATCAAACATATCAGTCGACATATTTATCCGAATTATCTATTATTCTCTATTGTGTGAAGATGTTTATCTTTGAGAAATCCCCACAGACAAAATCCATAGGTCATAAAACATATCCATATTGAGCGTATTCCAAAATTTTTCATTGATCTCGTAAAAGTTACAAATATCTATCAACAACGTGCGTACATATCAAAGTCTAAGTACATACGTTTCATTTATGGAATAGAAGTAGCAATAGTTTGACATTTACTTTTCTAAAAGTGAATTCGGCGGTTATTGTAATAATTAAATCATATCATTACATGTTTCGTCACGCTATGTAAGCATCAAACTGTTGCTCTACTATACTTTGTGGTTTTCTTCATATATTCGGGTTTATATTCCATATTTACGTCGGCAGAAAGGGTTGATTATTTATTTTACATATATTTTGTATTAACCTACAATAATTTCGTCAGAATATGCATTAAACACTTGAGTCGTTTATTTTAGACGTCATACCACAATATAACATACAAATCTATGTTTACAGCATAACAGGATATAAAGGTTACAAGTTAATGCCAATTGGGGTTTTTTGTTAAAATTTTGAAAAATCTTTGCTACTACCCTATGTTTATGAAGAGCTCCGCGTGATTAAAGCAATGATAATATGTTGCAAGTGAATGACTAATGAAATATTCATTATTATTTTTACTATTCATTTGATTAAACTATTTTAATTTTTTACAATTTAATTTATCCGTAATGTTGCCATTTTATTTATTATCCACGCACAAACGTGTACATAAGGCGGGATTAATGTCATGAGCATTTCGTCCCAGCGAAATCAATTGCTAATATATTTATACAAAGATTATTTAGTGTTTCAGGTTTAATTTGAACGCATTAGTTGAGTAGTTAGTCCTTCGCTGCTTTCCATTACTGCTGCTGCGACAAAGCGGGGGAAAGGGGTACACCAAAAGGATATATAATTTGCCATTTTCGTGCAATAGTGAGAGTAGTGGCACAGCTAAGTTTACACAATCTTACCATGACATCTTCAATATTCTTGGTCGCAGGTGCAGTAGCTGTTCTATCGTAACACAACATATATTATTATGTAAATACTAAGTAAATAAATCGGTGCTGACCTCTATGCCGTCGCTGCAGGAATCGAGGAGTTCGTAGAACACAGACAGGAACAGCTTGTTCATGAGCTGTGGACGCAGCAAAGCCACCTCAGCCACGTTGCCCAGCAAACCCATCATATTGCGCAGCAGCTCTTCCTTGTCGGGGAATATCTGAAATTATATAGTCGTCGGTTATTATTTTATAATTAAAAATAATCAAATATTATATAAATAAAATCTTTGCTGCTGATGAAATATTTGAACATGTCAACAGTTCTGAATCAGAAAACAAAACGTATTGGAGCATGTTTTTTTTTATATAAGAGCATTATTAAATGTCAATTAATTTCTTAATGTTTTGATCTTTTCATTATGTTAAAAACAAGCCGTTACCTTGAGACAGGCAAGGAAGTATTCCATGCCACGGTTCTCCAAGAAGCGTTGGCAGTTTTGTGGAGTCTCATCAGTAACGTTCCACATAGTGGACCAGGCCACTTCCAGCACATCATCACAGACCCGACGTTCCAACCGGTCGGAAATCAAGTTGAGCATTTTCTGAAACAATAGAGACTGCACTTGATACATCGGCTGCAATAAACCACTTCAATAACTGCCAAGTGAGAAAAGAGGTTCTCTATCGTCTATATGGGTAAGGGAGTACATTCACGGGTAAAATGTGGGTATTAAATTCACAAAAATGTTCATTATTTATTATTATAATCCAAAGCTCCAATATAAAAACGCCACATTGTTACAAGCATAAGCTTGTAATATTAATATTATTCTCATCCTTAAATAATGAAATATATCCGAAGCAAACGGAGAAAACGATCGGTAGCCATATAATTTTATAATGTATGCCGCAAATCACTATTACCAAATTAGATTGCTTAACCAAAACCATGGGGTAGCTAGGTTCATTATAAATTAAAGTAAAGCGAGTGCCACCTGGAAATAAAGCGCTTCAATCGCTTGCTTTCGCGTTGCATAATGTATGACGATTTTAGATAAGTCGTAAAGGCTTAAAAGTATTTCTATATTCGAAACTGTTCTCGATACACAGATGCTAGTAAATATAGCTGCCCTAATCTATGTTTACGTAAAGTAATGGTCAGAGAGTTTTAAAAAGAAAGTTTTCATTGCATGTTTCCGCAGAACGCTCCGAAATAACTACTGATTTAAACAATTCTTTCAGCAAGCACTAAGCACTTTTCGAAAAGTAACAATTTATTTTAAATACTCGTAATAGCGCAGGACTACTTTAAACAATACATACATAACATAACATCACGCCTTTTATCCCCGAAGGAGTAGGCAGAGGTGCACACAGAAGTAACACCCACTTTTCACTATTTATGTTATGAGTCCCATGTAATAGGGGGTGAGCCTATTACCATATACCGGGCACAATTCGAGACTTCGTGCTACAAATGAGATTTTATTTTTTAAAACCCCTCAATACTTTGCCCGATGGGCATGCTGCCATCGCAGCGGTAAGTCCCCTCTTTGAGGAGTGGCTTGAGAGACGCTACGGCGTCCTCACCTACCGCCTGACGCAGGTCGTCACCGGACATGGAAGTTTCGGGAGGTACCTGTGTCTGATGGGGCGGGAGGAAACGCCCGGGTGTCATCACTGCGAGGACCGCCCTGAGGACACGGTGGAACACACTGTAGCGGAATGCCCTGCGTGGGCTGAGCACCGCCGTGCCCTCAGGGAAGTGATCGGCGATGGCGACCTCTCGCGTCCGGGCCTAGTGCAGGCCATGATGCGGAGCGAGGGGGACTGGGATGCCGTCTCCTCCTTTTGCGAAGCAGTCATGCTAGCTAAGGAGGAGGCGGGACGCGTGAGGCAGCGAAGCGCTGCCTCCTCGCAACCCAGCCATCGCGAAGGACACATCGGGCGTAGGGGATCGCGAGACGATCTCCGGCCACCGTAAGCGCGGGCCTGCGGACGGCGAGCATGGGTGGCTCCCCGTCCGACCAGAAACAGACCCGAGCGTACGGCGCGTCGCATTCCGCGCGCGCCTCAAAGAGCCATCAGACCACCACAGATGGGGTCCAATAGGGCCGATGCCGATTCGGAGTCGCGGAGAACCTAACGGGTAACCGGGCTCCGGCTCGACGTGCAGGAGAAGGAACGGGGTGGTTTTTAGAGATTGAGAAGTAATTCGATGATTTTCCCCCCTAAAAAAAAAAAAAATACGTTGCCCGACCTAAGAATCGAACCCGAGACCAAGGGGTCTCGGGTTCGATTCGGCCGGGCAAGGGCCCGGCAGTCGCACTTGCGACCACTCGACCAACGAGACAGTCAAATAAAAATTGAGTCCGAAATCTATTTAGAAATAAGTAAATCTCTACGTCAGTATTAGTAGTTACTAGGCTCGTACATGAAAAGAATGACTAACCCGAGTTCATATAATACATTTAGTAATCAATAAATAGCTAATAATAACCAATTACTTAATGGCCGCCGCCAAACCCAAATATAATTGACTTGTAACCCAAGAAAGTCCGAGAAACAGACCGGCGACAGATCAATAAAATATTTATTTTTAGACAGCTCCTGGGGTGTAGTCATGTACAAAATATGATGAAGAGATATGAAAGTAGGGAAAGTACGTATCGAATAGTTTGACCTCCTTTTGTACAAAGAAAATCGCGTCTCAATATATTATTTTAACATATTTATTGAAGAGTTACTGGGTACGTTTTATAATAATACGAAACGTCTAACAATTTAAACATTATCTGTAACAGGACATACTCGTAGCTCACATAAGAAATTACGGAATAGTAGAAAATAGCACTCGAATAATAAAATTACGAAATATTGACCTAAAAAATATCATTAAAGTCATTTTTAATTTATGATGAAAAGCGTCTTCTTATCACTTGACGTTACAAAAGACGTCCTCAAACGCCCACTTAACCCCTTTGTCCAGTTTAGATGATGTAGATAGCCACAGTGGTGTCACAATCACTACTTACTACATGGACTAGCATTTAAGAAGAGCTTGATACAGTTTAAGACCCGAAACAAATGTGTCAGCAGAATTAGATAATTCATAACTTTACTAAATTTTGTCGCACAATGTTCCTCATGGGTATGAGCCGTAATACCCATAAATAAATCCCATGGCATTAAACTAGAAAACGAATATCATGTCAAATCAACTCTATTGCGATTCCGAACAAAATACTTGTTATGGTTATAATAGGTTTATTATTATCACATAAAACTATGTTATGGTATGTAGGAATCGTAGTAATTGGCATTCCATATTCTCTGCTTACCCCCCTGGGAAACAGGCGTGAAGTTATGTATGTATGTAAAACTATTTTCTATGGAGCAATGCGCAAAAGAATCGTTAAGCTGAGTAATTAATACGTAAGGTGAAGACTGAAGGATCTCGCTTTGTAGACTTTTTCAGTAGAAACTTATAATCCTCCCTCTTATCTCAATATAATCTAGTATGAAAATTCATTAAATCGGGAGTTTCGATAAACGGCCAATTCAAATTATTTAAATACAGAGTGCTTATCCAATCCGTAGCTTTTTATTTACATTTACATGCCTCGAGGAATATTGAAATCAATCGGTGTGTTTTTATAAAAAATATATTTGCGTTTTAATATTTGCGCAATACATGGCCCATTACATTCAACAGAATTGAAAAATATTAGTTATTTTGATACCAAAACTTCTAAAGTCATTTCAGAGAGTAATGAAAAATTATAAAACACCTCGCGTTAACACCAAAGCAAATATCACGCAAGAGCTCAAAAGAAAATAAAACCTAAATAATGTTGCTACAGCATAATAATACACAGTAAAAAATACAATAAATAACAACTACTAATAATCAAAGCCAAGAGACCAAGTAATTTAAAAACAAAACATAAGTAAATAAACATTCGCCGTTTAAAACAATGACTTTTAAATTCGCTTGTAGCGCGTTAGCTCGTCGATCCTGTCTTCGCATAATAACAGATTAAAGGTTCAAGTACAGTTACACATTTCCAATTCATATTTAGATCAAGGAAAGAAATATACATTTATACATTAATCAAAGTCGTTATACTTCACCAAGAGCATTTCATACAAATGAATGTACACAAATGAAGTGACCGAGACCCTCCCTTTATAATGTGAATTTCGAACAGCTTATTTTCTTCAGCTCACTGTTTTATAACATCGTCTTATACTTTCATGCTATATTCAGCCATTTATGCTAAAACTTACAGCGGTTCGGTAAACTATTAAGTTCACTTACTGCGCTTAGCCACTTTTCCTACTTTATGTAAAGCTCAGCATAGGCCGCCTTCAGCTTTATTAGTACTTTCAGTTCCACTAATGACGCCGAGGTTGAGGATGTTTAAAACCCATTCATGATTAGGTAATGACTATAGTATAGCAAGTATAAAGATGTGCACTGAAAAGCTCGGTGATACCGTTGAGTAGGAAGGATTTCGAAAACCTACAGGAAGAATATGCCTCAAAAGGACTGCAACAAAACAACTTGACACCTATCCTTGAACACAAACCATTGCATCAATTGTAATAACAGAAGGGGTCCAGTTAACAGTCGCAAGAATAACTGCATCTATTACTTTAACAAACTATAATCTTTAAAGTACTCGGTATGTGCATATTACGTTGTTAGCTTGTCGAGCCCGGACGAGCTCGATCGATCTGGTGGCATATACATGCATGTAACATGATATATATAAATGCATGTACAGATTTTAAATATTGGCGGGCGCAGTTAGCGTCGCTTCGGTCAAGCTTTCACCGGATTCGCAAAACCGACGGGGTGACAGGGGTGCGGGGCTATTGAGATGCATAAATCAATAACACCGGCGCAACTCCCTAGGTATCCTGCCACGTCGACAACCTACATACGTATACATCTAGCTACCCATTTCAGGGACGCTGCGAATCTGCGTTATATGCACGTAACTCCTATAACCTTATATCAGAGGAATTATTATGAAACTATTTCAACTTAGATATTTTTAATCCTCATAGGTTCTCATTAAATTACTGTTGAATGCGCGTTGGTCCATATTTTGGAGACTGCGAGCACTTTTATATAAATTGCACCCTGCACACATCGACAATGCCTAGTAGGAGTAAGAATAATAGACTTGAAAATGTTAGTCATCATAGTATTTTGCAGCGAGGTAATATGTATTTAACTATTTTTATTATTGCTATATGTTGCTAAATTACCATACATTTCTTTGTACTGAGAAGTCATGAAACCAGTGTAATAAAAGTATTAACGGCCAGCCGGCAGCTAACAGGAACACTGTAGGTACTGTCCTTTTGACTTTAACAAGTGTGATATGCACACTGCAGAATGCAGATCCTTTATTATCATATTCCAATTCAATAGAAATAGGTCATATCAATCCCAGTAGACCGGACAATAGGTCCGCGTCGAGTGCCGTGGCAGGATACTTTAATTCAACATTGCATGAAAAATGATGTGTTTATATCGCTAGCATATACAATAAAGTCAAGTTCCTGTGAGAAATGAAAATACAAATAACAAAACTTACCCCAATTGCTCCTTGGTTTCCGAGGAAGGTCTTTTGTTTACCGTCAACTTGACATGCTAATGAGTTTAATAAGTAAATAGCGATGCGCTGGACAAAGCCTTCCTGATTGACGTCGGCCACCCCGTTTAAAAGAATCTGTACCACACGTTCATATTCGAACAACTGAAAGAAAAAGCAACTTAAGTAACAGTTATAATAATAGATAGTACGAATTATAAATAAAATATAACTCGTATTAAGATTAAATAGATAACAGTTTTGTTTGTTATGGCTACTCTCTTATAGCGTATCAGTTTACATGTTTGTGTTCAAAGTCTATATTACTGAGAAAAACCTTTCTCCTGATTGACCTTCGCACATTTACTATTTATCTGTCTTGTAGAATTGGCATAGGTACTAAAAAAACATAAAACTTAGTTGATATGAGAATAAGGTAAGCACTTTTTTATAATTAAGAAAATGAATAAAATAAAAGAAAGATGCACTTATTTCTTTCGTACACACTTAAAATCAGTTGCGTGTAGGTATCAATATACAACACACATCCCCGATGCACAACAGCTGGGTGTCCAGCTACTGCCATAAAATTTACTCTGCCAATTGCCAATAAATTTGCTCTTAGAAAACCCATTTACATTATTTTTATAAAATCTGAAGACGTTTATTAGGTATAATCAAAGTCATACTAAGAAACGACCGATTCCGCTACCGCAAGCATAATGTACTTTTCTTCACATTACAACCATATTTAAATATTGAATTTAATATTTATGAATGCCCAGTGAGGTTCGGTCCAAGCACTAAGAATTTCAATGATACTGTTGAATATCGTCGTTCACAAAGTGATAATTTTTGACTAAATTATACGAATTACGAAGATCTTGGTCTGAGTTAAGCTCAATGTCAGAACACATAAATATGTAAACAAAATGTTGGTTCGGAAGAATAAAATATTTCAATTATCTAAGTGTTTTAGTTTTTTAGTTAGAATATACAGTCCTCTCTACCTATACCAATTCGAGATAACGATAAATCAATGCCGACGAAACGTTGTATCTGATAGGTGGTTACAGCTCACCCCCAATGCAACAGGGTGGGAGGGAGTCTCTCTACCTCCTCACACTGCGTTGAATAAATCCCGAGAGGGCGGAAATCGATATCATAAAAATTATGACGCGCAGTTTGCAACTGTCCTTGTATTCTAGAACTTTTTCGCTAGGCACCAATTTTTAAGCACTCGAAATGAACATTATCAGTAGAAACTCTATCCAAGCTCGAAATCATTCAGGTAGCGTACCTATGTGCATAAAATAAAACAAAATAAATGTTCAAACTTTGTACAGAATTTCTTAAAATTGGTATATGACGTATCGATTTTACCTTCTAGACTTAACACGGCGGTTACAATATCTGAATAATTAAGAGGTCTATATTGATTGAGTCATGACTATAAAAGGGCTCCCTAGGCTAATGAACAGTTTTAAAACTTACCACGTCGGTTGGGATTTTGAATTGGCACAGAGTGAGGCACCCATTCCTCATCATAGTGTCATCACCAAGGTGTGCTTCCATGCCGTCGAGAAGTGCGGTGATGATACGTCTCTTCACCTTCATGCCGATACGATCCTTTTCTTTTCCTTTTACGATGTAGAACAGGGTGGCACTAAAAGTGCAAGTTTGTCATTGATTCAAAGACTTATAATACCATTTTATTTTTATGCAAGATGGATGTCAAAAATTACAGTTTTAGCTTTCATTCTCGACTATATGAAACTCGGTATGTAACCTTACTATCTCGCCACAATGAACTACTCAAAAAAGTGCTTATTATGTTTTAACATCCGTATTATTCAAGTGTTAATATATATCTTTATGTGCTTTATCTTTTCTATTTTATATATTCTTTTCTAAACCTCGCCTAGCTAATGAAGCAATCGTATTGTAAAAGCCTTATTGGAAAACAGTTTATTTCCGGCTCTTTGAGCCGAATAGCCTAATTCTGAATTAGTAAATTGATCGTATCTACGATTAGACCACATTGTGGTTTACTGTATTTTTTTTCTTTAATAAGTAGACCTAATAGGTGTTTGTTTGTAACCTCTGAAATTGCCGTTTTATGTGAAAAAGTTTAAACGAATTAAAATTTTCAATCTATTTTTATTCGTACTAATCGAAGTAATCACCCATGCAATCAATGCATCTTTGCCAACGCAGTGGCAGTTTATTGATTTCTTCTCTCCCGTTTCTTTAAGAAGCCCTTCTTAATAAAATCAGCTGGACGGGAGGCAACAATTCATCAAAGGCATTTTGTACTGTCTCTCGGGTATTGAGTGTTTATTCAAATTCTGAGAAAAGACGCAAGGTCTGGTGAGTAGGGCAGCGACTGAGAGCTTCTAACCCCAGTTCTTGCAACTTGGAGATAGTCTGCTGGGCAATATGAGGCCGTGCGTTGTCCTGCAGGAGCAGTAGAGACGAGTGATGGGACTAATGCTGGTTGGAGATGTGCCAGCTTCTCTATCATTGTGTTCAGTTCAGTTCTTCACAGTACATATCTGCAGTAATGCTCACCCCGTTTGGTAACATGCTGTGACAAATCACAGCGGCGCTAGACTGTCTAGAGTGACTGTCACTTTTCTAGGGCTAAGTTTTTAGGGCATTGTTTAGGTGCTGGACCAGGATCCAACCAACTTGCTGAGCGCTTGTGGTTATCAAACAGAATCCATTTTTCATCGCAGGCAACAATGCGGTTCTAAATTCCTTCATTTTTATGTCTGTGAGCAGTGCAAGGCATTTCTCGACGCATACTTCGCGCTGACGATCATTGAGTTCGTGGGGCACCCATTTGTCAAGCTTTTTTACATTTCCAATTTGACGCAAATACATTATATCGATATTGTTTTGATGCTAACTACGAAAGCTGCTGTTAATTCAGTCTTAGATTGTGTATCTATCACAATCGCCTTTAAACAAATGACAAATTTTGGAAAAATCCATGTTTTTAAAATAAAATTAATTTATAAATTAAAATTCTTAGCCAAACAAACATTACTTTGATTTGATATGGCCAGTACTGCAGAACGGCAACTTCATAGGTAGACCTAATACCTCTTATCTTCAATAGTATTTCGTGTATTAATCAAAAACAATAATAATGTGGTAACGCGACCTATTCGAGGATTTTTAACCGAACTGTTTCTTCTAACACAAGACTACAATTGAAAATTCAAATAAGTTATTAACTATAACACTTTGTATCATATAAGTATTTACTTTTTTTAGAATTGACACCGAGAGGTGTAGACTTGATATTTTATCGTCATTGGCATAGCAACGTCGCATTAATTGGTTGACACCCGTTGCATAATAATGAAACCTCTTTGAAACATCTTTATAGATGCATATTTATATAAATACGACTACGTCTTTTTTGGTGTATATACCACAACCAAGGCGTAGATAAACAGTAATACGACTTACCTTCCTGATATCTGGATATGTTTCTCCGTAACGTGTTGATCCATAGCATCAAGGACAACAGACAGAGCTCGGCCAACGTATGCATTGTTCTCGTAACGGAACAAATAATATAAATCATTGAGGACACGGGTCAACATGGCCGGTCGCTCCATATAGGCTCGAGCTGCAGTAAGAATCTGTTCTTCATTGGCGTCCCCAGTGATCTAAGAAACAAAGAAAGGCTACAATACAGTACCGACAGTCGGACAAGTACGCATTAGTGAAAGGAAACGTTAGTTATTATGTTAGAAATTATGAAACACCCTTAAGTAGAATAGGCCAGAAATATCGGTGGATTGAACATTTTTTTACGCATATGCCACTGGTTCTAGCGACCAACTAAATCTTCACCGTGCGCTAGAGTAAACAAATTGTTTGATATATTTTTGTTTGAATGATTTACTGGTACAAGATAATTTTGAACAAGTTCAAAAAGACTAAAGTAATTTTGATTTTGATACTCCAACAAAATAAAGATGAATTGTCAATTTTAAAATATAGCCGTCAGAAAATCATGGTTATGACAAGGTCGTATTTTTCATGCGGGATCTGCACTGAGTTCTTTATGGCAAAACCTCGCTTGGGATGTGGTCCCATGTGTCGAGCTCCTCGCTGGTATCCACGTCATTTGCTACGTAGATGACACTCCAGTAATAACCAGCAGGAGCTCCTTCGTGGAGACCATCCGACTAACAGAACTTGGGGTTTTTTTAAGTGGGGATAAACCACCCCGTTCCTTCTCCTGCACGTCGAGCCGAAGCCCCGGTAACCCGATAGGTTCTCCGCGACAGAACTTGGGGTTACGGTTTTAATTCGTGAACTGGGTTTGGAAATAGAGCCTCCCAAAACTGGGGCACTAAAACTCCATGAGCTGCCGAGAACCAGGGAGCCACCCTGTTAGAGATGCGCAATTCCAGGTTGGCCGATACATAAAGTTTTTAGGCCTAGCCTTGGATCGTCTGTGGAGTTTCGAACAGCATATCGAATGCACGGGGAAGCATGCATTCGTAATGCTGCCTTCGTCGTGAGCGAGTCTTGATCGTCTGGTGCGAAAAATTCAAATACCAATCGACAACCTTTGAGTCGGTAACTCGCTTGACTCGGTTTCTGCCGTTTGACATCCTCGTTCTTATGGACTCGAATGTCTACGGCCAAAACGGAGAATGCCCAAAAAGAATCGAATAAAATTACTCATGGACCTTATAATAGACAATAAGTAAGAGCAAAACCATAACCTGCAGTATATTACAATTTTGTTTGGGCGTGTGAATAATTGATTTTTTTTTGTTCTTTGTTAGTTCCTAGACGAATAAAAGCGATGAATAATACAGATAATAATTGCATTTACGAGAATTTCAAGCAAACCCCAAATCTGTAAGATTTTCGTAAACAATTATTGAATTTGGGATAGAAATTTTTAGGCATTGTTTTTTTGCACTATCCACCGGCAGTAGGATGCAAAGCGGCAGTAGGGTGCTGGAAATGATGATGTTCATAAGGCTGAGCTGGCCAGGCCAGGACAGCGGCACGCGCTCAAGCGATGGTGGCGAGAGCAGCTACAACAGCTGAAGTACTCACGCCAGCGCGCCGTTTTGATGTCGGTTTTAGTCGGGCGGCGAGCTACTCTTGCTCGCTGTGCGTAGACCCGTGTTTATGGTGGCCGGAGATCGCCTCGCGATCCATGACGCCCGAAGTGTCTCCCGCAACGGCTAGGGCGTAAGAAGGTTTGTACCCTTACGCGCCCTGCCGTAGCCGTAGTATCACATCACTGGGAGCACGGCGGTGCTCAGCCCATACAGGGCACATCGGCCTCACAATAATGACACCTGGGCGTTTTCTCGCGCCTAACCAGAAACAGCTACCTCTCGACACTCCCATGTCGGGTAAACACCTGCGTTAAGTCTTAAGTGAGGACGCCTTAGCGGCTCTCAAGCCCCAACTTGTAAGTCCCCTGACTTACTGCTTCAATGACAGCAAGCTCAGTTTATATGTTACATCAAAATAGTTATGGTTTCAGTAATTACTCATTTTTATCCACCTCGTCGTAATTATCTTATGTAAGTTTAGTTAGTATAAAAAAGATGTGTACTACTTAGGCTAAGGACGGCGCGATTTTCTCCGACCCCCGCCGCGGTTGCGGGCCCGTAGCCTTTGTAGAAAACAGATATGTATGCAAAAAATCAAAGCAATTTTCACGTAGCGTTTTACACCCGCGGCGGCTAGCACTCGCGCGCTCTGCGATCAGTTGGTGAGTGATCGCAATGGGACGGTCGGTCTGTGGCCGCGAACGCGGCGGCCGCGAGAGAAAATCGGATCGAGAGAAGAAAGTTTAAGTAGAACTGATATGAACCGTGTTCAAAAGTTTTCAAACGACGAATAAAAAACTAATTACGTTTTAAGCTGTCAGCAAAGATTCATCAGCTTAATAAACGATTGAAGAATTTGTATTATTACATTCGAGTTTGCGCCATGTTACATTACCCGGAAGTCCAAAGTTACTGGACTATGAGAAAAAAGGAATAGCGAATGCATCTATGTGCGTGCGCACACTTAACGTGCTGTATTACGTGATGCACAATTGACAAAACTATAAAAATACTTAGTTACCTATTACTTATTGCCTATTGCCGAAAGTAACCAACAAAAGGAAAAGTAAAGATTGTCTTGCTAACTACCTATTGTCTTAATTATAGGTGCTTGCTTGCTTAACAAAACTATTAAAATTACACCAAAGTCAAAGTCAAAGCATTTATTTCAATTAAACCATAGTTTGGTACTTTTGAAACGTCAGCAGCTACAAAATAAATAATAGTCTGTCAGTCAGTCCGTCAGTGAGACTAGTTGAAGCTAGGTGCTCATTCCAAAATGTAGATTCGAATGGAGAAGAACGAGCAAGAAACTCAATTCGTTACTTCAGTAATGTTTAAAATTTCCAGAAGTTAATTCAGTAATGTTTAAAAAATCCACCAGAAGTTAATTCAGTAACGTTTAAAATTTTTGAAATGTAGGTAGGTAGTTTAAAAATTTTTTTATAATCAATATCTAATATCCGTTCGATTACGCCGCGTCGTGTTCCGCGCGCCTCAAAGAGCCATTACTCCACCACGTATGGGGCCCAATAGGGCTGATGCCGATTCGGAGTAGCGGAAAACCTAACGGGTTACCGGGGCTCTGGCTCGACGTGCAGGAGAAGGAACAGCGTGGTTTTTAGTCAGTAAGAGTCTGACACTCCCTCCGGCCTCACCCAGGCGGGAGCTGTCATTCGATGATTATCCCCCTTAAAAAAAAGTATCCGTTCGTTTTGGCGTAAATCAAAAGACAATCATTACTTATTATATGTGTACCATATATGAACAGGAGCTGAGAGGGCTGAAAAATTACTGTAACTAATTATGCTGTCATTTTGAGTATCACAGAAAGGTAATCAAAATAACAGCATAGTTTAATCATTTTAGATTGTAAGACATGGTACATGTCCTATTACGATATAACATGAGAAAATTTGCTCACTTTTAATTTAGTATAAGTAGTTGGTTATTAAAAATTTAAATAAAAGCATACCTACATATTGAAATATACATTGTACAGTCTACTATCCCCAAATAATGTGTAATACCTATTGTAGTTAAGTACTTTGTTATTTTATTATCAATTTCACAAAATATGTCAGACAAACATAGCCAAACCAGATTAAACCGACTATTTGTGCTATTAAGATTAATTTTATAAACACCTACTTAAACCCTTACAAAACGCTAATAATAATTAGAATTGAACATCTCTGAAATTATCTATTAGATTGGAAGTTTTATTTCCAATTAAAAGTCTTCCAACTAAAACCTATTTCTGTCATCATTTTGTTTCTTAAACTGTCAAACACCAAGCGGTCACCGGTGACCGCAACCTATTGTTCTTTAATTGTGTCTATAAATACTGTACTCGACGAGTTAAAAGTGGACAATGATGACTAAAATACCAAATATACTAAACAACTATTATCAATAGTTACTAAAATAAATAGTAACAGACTGATCATGGTATTAGGTCCTTGCATCTGTGAATCAACACCTTTGCTCATGCATCAACCTAGCAATTCCCTATACCAAGTGTATTGTTCATTTCTGTGTATCCTCTATTCTCCAAATTGAAACAAAATAGTGAAATAACCAAAAATTATAATACCTAACAGCTTACTTACCACTTTAGCGGGTATGTCATGACGCTTGCAGGCTCCATGGTGAGTGCCATATAATCCCAGGAATTCGAGTGGGCGGTTGACTCGGCTTACAAGTCCTGGTATGTCACAACGCACCTCATACTCCATGCCATCTGAAGTCCCTTGATGCACAGTAGAAACTGCTGCAGCTCCGGTGCCAGCCAAATTAGTGCCAGAAATATCCAGCGACTCCAATTCTGTTAGACTTTCCACTAACTGAGTCAAAATCTCATTTGGAGTGAAGTATTTCCCATGCCTCTCATTTGACTGAGAGATGTCCAAGTGTGTCAAGAGACGCATACCAGATATCCAATCAATTAAGTCTTTTGTCCATGGGACAGCATGCAATACCAAGTATCGCAAGTTGGTCATTTCATTCAAAGCCCAAATGGACCCAGCTGAGGTACACTCGGATAGATCAAGATGAGTCAAGTGCTGCAGTGGCTTTAACAGCAGCAAAGGAAAAATTGCCAGGCCTCGGCGCTGGATGGTAAGTCTCTTTAGGTTGGGAGCATAGATAATGTATCCGCGCTGGCGGTAGATACCTTCGTCATCTTGTGGAAATACATAAGTCAGGGGTCCAAATTTCAGTGACACTAGATTCTGACTGTTGTTACTGATGATTTCCAGGGATGCCTGCGACAGATATTCACATTGGTTGAGTTCAACTTCGTAGGGTTTGTGCTCCATCAGGCAGCGCAGTCCTTCGTCAGTAATGCGAGAGTTTCGCAATTTAACGCGGTGCAACCGGGTACGGTATTTATCTCGGAACATGTTCGCTATATTATCATTTATGCGATATTTTTTCTGGTATGCCCGAATAAATTTTTCGCAAATCTCGGAAGGCAATATAACATCTTCCTTGAATCGACGCCATCGTGTCTCACGATCAAAATTAGTAATCGTATTAAGATTCACCACAATGTAGTCCAAACAAATATCAAACAGACTGTCTGGCACACAGTCGTACGTAGTATCATACAAACATATTTCGTCCGACATTCTGATGGACAAACACTGACTGTTCATTTACTGTATCGAAATAAGAGAGCCTTGCGACGGTAACATTTCGTCAAAAAATTCACGCACTGATCTTAAGTGTTGGAAATTACGTCAGAGACCATTGTAATGATATTCAATGTTAGTTGTATTTTCTCCCGACAGACCGAAACCACAACACACTTGCTTCCTGGTCAGCGGACTGGCAGAATTTCGCAGTTTTCGCACAACGCAACAAGAAAGTCAATTGTCTTTTTTTTTCACAAGACACAGATTATACCAACTGTCGTCATAAACCATAGACAAGGACAGTAGGCCCAGAATACATTTTAAATGTGTAACAATGTTTGAAATCATATCGGAATTTTATAAAATAATTTTGTAAGAATTTTTGGTTCTCAAAACTGTAAAATTGGTAATAAATCTGAAAAGCATTCCAAACACTTATGCATAGACAATATCAAATGGCCGCTCCTTGTCATTTTTGCTTTGTTGAAGTGAGAGGACAATAGACAACACTCACGGATCAATAAAATTGTCTCCCTTACACTAAATCTCAGATAAGAAACTTTGGATATGAAATGATGATTTAATCGATATCTAGCATCCGGATTGTGTTCAGGACATGGTAGGATGCGGAGCGAGAAGAATGGAAAGCAGCATCCTCTTTTTGCAAAGCAGTAGTTATGCCAGCAAAAGAAGAGACATAGCACGTGAAAGTACGAACCTCTTTATGTCTTAGCCACCTCAGGAGACACTCCGGTTGGAGGTAGCGCGCCTCTATCTTACTTACTAGTATCAAATCCTAAATATATTCATTACCAGTGCAAGATCAAGCCAGCACGTAAAGCACGTTAGTTGAACACTCAACTTTTCTGGATTCAATTTAGACTAAAGAGAAAGCATACAAGAGTTGTAAGTTGTAGCATTTTAAGATTCATTAAGGCCGCGGTGCCCTTCGACTGGAACTGACTCTAGAAAGTCGCTCTATCTTAACCTACTGCTGTCTACTGTTGGGCAAAGGCCTTTTCACACGGAGAAAGTATATGAGCGTTAATCACCACGCTTGGTCAAGGTGTATTGGCGACTGCAAACTTATACTTAGAAATTATAAACCTTAGTTTCTTCTCGATGTTTTCCTTCACTGTATTTTACTAGTATCTTTAGCAATATTTGTTTATTGGATCGTGGCCAGTGTCGGGTTTCCTTGCGCGCTTCTGAGAGAACCATCAGAAAACTACAGTTGGGCTCCAGTAAGGTTAATCCTAAGATGCGGACGGCCCAGCGGATTATTTAAAAAAATCCCAAATTCATCCTACAATAAAATTGTTTTTAGACTTCCACTAAATACAGCCCTAATTTAGCGAATATTGAAATTGGTCCCTGAGTTCACACATGCATTCAAAAGTAACATCCGTAGTTTAATCCACCTTTTGCACGTTTTTTCGTAGGTATTTCATATCCATTGAGTTTCTTTAATCTGAGCTCGACGCCTAAACAAGACCAGAAACATGTCAGGGTGGCGCTGCTTCATACGTGTCAGGGTGGCGCTGCTCATCTTTAGTTTTTTAGACTGCGAAACACGAATTTTATTCAATTCATATTTTATAACCATATTATTATATACGTCGCGAACATAGGGTAGAAAAAAAATTTAGTCGGCAACTTATATACCTTTCTTTCTTTTCTTTCTTTTTTTTAAAAAAAAAACGTTGTCCCACACTAGGATTTTCTCCTGTGTCGTGGGTGCGTTTACAAACATACAAGTTCACATACACAATGACACCCAGACCCGAAACAACAATTTGTGGATCACACAAAGTGTTTTCCCGTGCGGGAATCGAACCCGCGACACGTTGCACGGCCACCGCACCAACCGTGCAGCAGCATATAAAACGGTTCAGCCTTACCACCTTCACCCGCGTCACTCTTAGGGCTTAAGATACGAATTACGAACGTATTCAAAGCAGAGCGGGCGCGTAACAAATTCGTTACGGACACACAACGAACACGCCCCGCATGCCCAGCGATTTCGTAGCGGACGCGCAATGGGATCGCCGCGAACAGCAAAATGGCCTCGGAGATGTAATGGAAATTGAATGGATTATTTGCCTTATAAACGCGACGAAAACGTTAACGTACTTACCTCGCGTCCGCGATGAGTTCGCTGCGCACAGCCGCGGCGTGTTTGCCCTGCGTCTCCTCCGCCCCAACCATTTCCAAACCACTAGTATTATAAACCAAGGGCTTTAATAAGGATTAAGGTAACAGACCTTAATCCTTAATAATTGGCCTGTTTTGTGCTACTTCTAGCGGAATTTCTGTTAGTCTGTCACATATTGGTATTTTAAAGTAATTGTGTTTATTGAATATGACAGAGGTGTGGCCTACATGGACCATGGCCTACATGGTTTGTTATGAGCCATGCGAACAACTATTAAATAGTACCTACCTAGGTAGTAATTAAGTAGATTTATTTAATCTAACAACCACAAACAACGGCTTATACCAAACCAATTACAGTATATTACAGCTACCTACGTCATGTAAACCCAAGTTTCGAACCTTAAACCGTAACCGTAGTTTCTAAATAAAATAAAACTACTTACGTTTAAAAAATAAACATCAAAAACCATAAACTAAAAAAACAATAAATAATTATTAGCTATTTAATCATTGTCAGTGCCTAATACTTACCCACAACACATACTGAAATTTAAAATTAGGAAGGTGCATCTAGTATCGGTAAGTAATATTTTGCCATAGAAGAATTGCCAATGGCAAAATATTACTTACGACAGGTAATGTACTTAGTAGGTACTTAGAAAACCTTTCCTTTGGTCCAAAAAATAATATGCTGAAAACCGCGTTAAAATCGGTTCAGCCATCATAAACTAATCGCTGACAATATATGTAAAACACGTGTTAAAGTGGGAATCTCAATTTTTTAAGTTTAGTACATCAAGATATAAGTACTAACGTACTAGAGAAGCTACGTCAAATAACCGAACTGTCCTATTCTTCGTAATTTGAATCTCTAATTCGCTGCAGCGCTAAAATAATAACAATTCGTTTAAACCGTAACGAATTTACCACAGCGACGAACCTTAAATCTTCTTCTAAGTCTGAAAAATACTATGCTGAAAACCGCATGGACATTGGTTCAGCCAAACGCGAGATGGTCACGCACAAACATGCATCCATATACTTACAAGTCAAACTGAGATCTCCTTTTTTGGAAAACACGTACCTACGTTGCGGTTAAATACTGCAACCGTAGCTCGTAGCTCGTAGTAAGTTTTGTTATGAATCCCTATGTCAATAAAGTCGTGGACTCAACTGGCAAACCACAGAATTAATATCTATGGTGGGGAGGCGCCGGATATTTTTGAGCATTGTCCATTTATGATATGTGTGTAAGTTTTATCTTACAACCGACGGTTACCTGCAACAATGACCACCTGACAATGTCACTTAACCTCCGAGCAAGGTTGTAGGAGGCCTGCTTGGAGTACCAGCTCATTCACTATGTCTTCCGGGCAGTGGTCGCCACTTGCCCATCATCTATCAGTTCTGCGACTGAAGTGGCCTGTCTACCATCAAAATTGTATATTATTATATTAAGATATACAAATTTTGTCTAAGAAATTGTTAAACATATTTACCTAAAATCAGTTAAGCATTACTTATAGCTTATTGACGTCCACGTCGGCTGTTACACAATAATACTTGACTCGACTCGAAAATAAAGTCCGAGAAGCCTTACTCCGCTCGGCAGTTACTCTTGCGACTACTCAACTAAAGAGGTACTCATTATGATAGTCTACACTACCCAAACAAATGTTGTCCTAAATCATACAAAAAAAGTTCGATACAACGTGATTAAGACTGTTTCAGGTGTTTTCTTGTTACTGTTACCTTTTTCTGATTTACATTCAGTGCACTGCCATATATATATTTTTTTAAGGGGGGAAAATCATCGAATGACTGCTCCCTCCTGGGTGAGGCGGAAGGGAGTGTCAGACTCTTACTGACTAAAAACCACCCCGTTCCTTCTCCTGCACGTCGAGCCGGAGCCCCGGTTACCCGTTACGTTCTCCGCGACTACTGCCATATAATTAGACAATTGCTAAGTTGATGGCCATTCGACTAACAAATTAAGTTTGAAATTGAAATAAGATTAGAGGTACACTGTCTTCATTTAAAACTCAAACAACCTTTCTTTTACCACTATTCATTCATATTTATTCTTTCTTAAAAATTGTCATCTCACTAATATTATAAATGTGCAAGTATCTTTGTTTGGATGTTTGCCCGTCAATCACGCTGAAAACTACTGAATCCGCATCAATGTTAGCTGGGAAAGTACCTAGAATGCTGGCAATATTGCCACGTTGTTATTGTTTTTTTTTAAGTTTACAAATACTTAATTGTACTCTGTTATGGAGTTAGGAAGTGTACTACACCGCATTTTAAGGTTTAAAAATTCGGCGTCTGACGAAAAATTCATACCTACACGTGATATTTAAAATGCGTAATAATTTATGGTACCCCTCCCTCCTATATATGGAGCCTCATGTGTCTCCTTACTAAATAAAAACGGGGCATAAAATAAATAAATGAAAATGGTTAGCACCTTATATCTTTTATTAGTAATTGTTAATCGACATTTTAAATTACACTAACAAAATATCTAATTCTTAGCAAGTTATAGTAGTTAATTACATAAGTTATCTTAGGTACACTTTCGTTCGAAAGGATCGAAATTACTATAAACTATGTACTTTGGCTGACAGGCTTTTAGTATGTTTGTTACTATTTTAATTGTCAACTAATTTATTTAACTTAAAGTGACTTGAGTCAATCTTGGTTGTAAGTATGGGGAAAGTTCGCAGTTGTCATTGGATTGGTCACTCACACTCACAATGAAGATTGGCCCAGACATCGACACACGCAACATCACGCATCCAGACATACCGACAGCTACAATAATTACACTGGTTTATCAGGATTTCGCTGAGAACTATCGACAACTAGCCTGTTTCGGCTTTTAGTACTTTACTGTAATATATTTACTTATATGCTAGATAACTACTACATATAAAATAAAAATGGTATTATAAAGATTTAGGAAACGTTTCAGTTCTACAACTAAAAGTTCTGTTCATATTTGTATAATTGTTAAAGTTTGTCCAGCGGTACAAGTTGACTGTTCATTTGTGTCTAGGAATGACTAATATAAATTCTTATCGACAAATTACTAGCAATACACAGTTCGATAACAGTTCGTCTCGCATCCAGCGTACCTACGCTCGGAGCGCCCCCGCGAGAATCGCTCGACACTTTGACTACACTAATAAATGATCACTGATCACGGTGGATAATTCACGATGACAAACCTTACAATTACATCTACTATCTTATTTGATAGGGAGGTTCTATCACTATTTATATCATCTTTGGTACAAACTTAGGTAACAATTTAGAAAATTATGCATGTTAGATACTATTTGGTAAATATTGTGTAAAAAATCTAAAACCTTATAAAAACCAGTGTTATTTTGTATATCTATCTATACATACTACCTCTATATTTACGTAGGATTACATTTTAGTATATGTATCAGATCAGCTCAGGGGTCATGTTTACTGTCATTTTTGGACACAAGAAAAGATTTTATAATATTTAGGTAATTAGAAAAAGCTATCAATGACAATTTAACACTTTTCAATCAACTTATATACACGCCCATTACATTTTTCTACGTAGAAATTTAACCATTCGGATAATACTTGCTACATACTAAAGTCAAATAACACATTAACTCGACATTGTCAGAATAGGATCATGTTGAGGATACACTGTCGGTGTCGGTGTACCTAATGCATCGTCCTATTTACATCGCAGACCTAACTGAATGGGATGGTATCTATCTAATTCAAAATTTGCATGCGCCCGACCGAATCAGAAGACACTCTGCCCTAGCCTAAATTATTGGCAGTATATTTTAAGGCGAAGCAGTCAATTCGTAGTCATCGGCGTGCGCGGCACCCGGGTCCCCCTGCTCTCACTGCGGCGATGCGTTTAGGTCTCGGAGCCGCAGGTGGTCAACCAGCGGATGTGTCTCTTCCACTCTCCTCTCATCGGGCCACTTTACCACGACGTTAGTGCTGGCGGGTGGCAGCGTCACTGGTGGTTCCACGACCACTGGTAATCCACCCTCGCGCTCAGGCAGCACGTGACCGAAGAGTGCTCCCACGCGCCTGTACATCAGTTGAGGCACTTGTGGTACTGAAGCGGTGTCATGGTCAACACCATCTGGTAGTGCACGCGGGCCACCCCCCAACTGTGTCATGATGATGACTGGCGGTGTTTCCTGAGGCGGCACCACGTCGTTTAGCGCCCTCAGCGGGACGGGCGCTGTGGTCTGCGGCGCCACGCATGTTGACGCACCGTTAATGCGAGCGCTCAACGTCTCCAGCACAGTGATGAGCTCGTACAGGTGATCGTCGCATAAAACCGGGTTATCTGCAATGTAACGTCCTAAGAATGTATACTTGTAACAAAACGCATAGGTTTATAATTTATTTTTCGCAACTGTCTTATGTTATATTATCATACGTGTAAATACACAAGCACATGCAGTTAAATGCGCATTAAGTTCTAACTTTACAATAAAACAAAAAGTATTCGCAAAAGCTTATTAATTCGTACAGGCATATAACATATAAAACTGCAGAATTTTGTTGTTTTCAATTTCGCTTTGCCTCTTACTTAAAGTTAATAAAAATGTCATACATACAACCATCATAAGAAACTGCTTATATACAATGTAAATCCATACGCACCTTGAAGGTAAATCTTTAATACGCTAGGCACTCCATTGATAGTACATCTAGATTTTGACACAACGTCATAGTTAACGGTCTTGATGTGGTTAAATGACAAATCAGCTATGCACAACGAGGGCAATCCATGGAAATCTTTATCAAGTAAAGTTATGTTGTTATGGTGTGCTATCAATTCTTCAAGTGACGGCAAAAATGTCTGGAACGAAACCGAGACACGGAAATTAAATATAAGATGTAAGTGAAAGTATCGCAACAGCTAAACATTGGGATTGTCGTTATTGTAAAAATGTTTAAATCGCAACAGCTCGCCAAGCAAAACAGACACAGTGTTTATGCTCCAGTATATAAACAAACCTTTGATGTTTCTTCCAATGTAGTTATGTGGTTATGGGACACGTCAAGCAACCTCAAATCTTCAAGACCAATCAGGTCATCCGGTGAAATTTGCTGAAGAAGATTGTTACTTAAATTGAGCCTCAATAGGCCGTGCAGCCCCATCAGCGCTCCGCCCAAGCTAAGGATGTAATTATGGTCAAGTCTCAGTTCTAGGACACGAGTTTCAACGTCAACCAAATTCTGTGAAAACAATTAATTTCATCGGTTAATATACTCAAATTTTAGACATGTGCACTACTTTATGTTTAAAATATTTACCTCCATGTTTCCTGTTATAAGACTTATTCTATTATGAGAGAGATCAATAACAGACAATCTTTTTAAACCTTTGATTTCTTGCAGAGAAAATTCTGTCATGTAATTATGAGTTAGATTCAAATATCGCAATGACTTCAAACTCTTTAAAGATCCATTTAATGATTTGAGTTGATTATACGCAATATCCAATTCAGCCAATTTCTCTGCTTCAGTAAACTCATCCTCCGCTAGCTGAAATTACAAAACATAATTTCATTCAATTTTATTTATTTTGAGGTTATTAAACACATTTACTTGATTGATTGTACTGAATTTAAATTTCCATAGGTAGACGGAAAGAAAGACGATGATCAAAGAAAATTTACCTCGATTACCTGTGTGAGGAAAGGTATTTAATAGAAATAATTCTGTGGAAGGATTCTAATTCTAAAGGAGGTAACAGGACATTGGAAAAAAAATACTTATAATACCACCCCTAAATAAATTGAAATAAGATCAGGAAGACGAACAACGAGTTTAATAGAGATCGGCGTAGGTACGTTTGTATACATCAACACACAAAATTACTAACACTTTCTATCTTGTTGAAAGACAGTCCTATCCTCATCAATCTTCTGGACTTCTGCAGAGCTCCATCCAATAATTTGATACTATTTCCATAGAAATACAATGATTCTAGTGAAGGCATTTGTTTCAGGTCTTTGGGTAAGGTTTGTAATTCGTTGTGGGCGGCGTGAATTAGAACAATCCTTTTCGCTTTCTGGAACAAATATACCAACGGTTTAATATTATAAGCGTAACATAATTTTTATACATAAATAAGTAAGCATATAGACTCGCGCCTCTGTGTCGTCAGCTCATATTTCTTTAGCTTCCATCACATTCATGCACATCCTACTCTAAAAGTACGTACCTATTCTGCACCTAGCCTTTATGATCATATAATTATGTCGACTCCACAAGTGTTGCGTTACTCCTTTTATCAATATGTTTCATAGCACTAACTAAGTACATTAATCAATTCTTGCAACATAATAATAAATATTGCTAATACCGTGTAAATGGTATATACTTACAACTGGCAATTCATTTTCTATAGACTTTAAATTATTGGCGTTTATGAAAATCCATTCCAAATCGTCCAAATCCCTGAGAGCTCCATTTAGTGAACTCAGCTTGTTGATTCCAAGATGAACGTGCTTTAAAGCTTTGGGCACCGCATCTCTCTCTATTTTTGATATCTGGTTATCTGCCACCAGTAAGTGTTCCACTTCCTGTATGTCCTACGAAAAAAAACAATTGCGATTAGAATAGGAAAGCTGACCACTTTTTTTAAGATATGAAGTTATTTTTATACAAATGACAAAGCGAGCCCATACCAACTCCTAAACTTTAATTCGTTTTATCTTTATAAATGTTTTTATTTTGGTAAAACTTTTAAATAATAAGTAGTCTTGAAACAATTTCAACTATTACGCTGTAGCTACCAGCGTCACAGATAAAGTATGGATTGCCATTTTAAACGAGTAGCATTTCAGTATTCGGACAGTACAGACCATAAGATCGATATTACGTACCTACACACTTATCATAATTATTTTAAACAATGAGCACGATAAGACTGTGAGTCAAATAAAACTTGCCATATCATAGTCGTAAGTACGTAAAAATACATAAACAAAGATAAACCTTATAAACACTTTAATTTCCTAAGCAGAGGTGGGGATTCAGTAAATTAAAATAAGAGTAAACAAAAAGGACACTAATCATATTAATTTCAAATATACGCTTGTTGCATTTGGGGCTATCACCAACATTGTGTCTATTTATAGAACAGAGATAAAAAATATGAATGACTGGTACTATTATTATTCTGGCGGTGAGAGTTCATTATTATATTATACATAGTTTACAGTTTATTTCCTTACCCTGAAGTCATCTTCGGTGAGCTTCGTGATTTTGTTCCTGCAGAGGTCGAGGGTCTTTACGTGCGGCAGGTGCTGGAGTACATGTCTCGGCATTTCTGTTAACGAGTTGTCAGCCAGACTGAAGTAGTCCACCAAGTCCAATTTCGTGAAAACACTTTCTTTCAACTCACTGGAATTGAGAAACATAACTAATCATAATTTGTCTATGTTTTGCTTTTATGAAAAATACTTTGTTTGTTGTACAAATCTCTTAAAGTATGCAAAAATGTTGGAATTGTAAACGTTGTTATAATATCGGACGTGTCTATAGTGAGAGAGAGCCTGTATGTATGCATTATTGCGGATAACCTGACACGGTAACTGCACATGATACCAATGTCTTGACTACAATACTTTTATTGTTGGTGAGTTTACTTGATAAGTTTCTGTATTCGTTTGAAACAGTGTCAAGCTTTGCGCGTAACATAGTATTTAATAAAAAACACTGCTTACGTCACGCATTATGGCCTTATTTTTCTTTCTATAAGTTATAACGCAATAGATAATATTCAATGTAAGAATTTATAGACAGTTCTGACAAACCGATAGCATCTTGAGAGTGCGTTCAGTGTCGTTCACCAGTAATTTCATCAGTCCTTGAAGTCAATCATTCGGAGATGGAATTGTAATTATTTTAGTAATATTCTTCATCATTTTAATATCGTCATTATTTAATATATAATAACATATTAAAGCTAACCCTCAAGTTATTATATCGGCTCACGCCGCGAGCGCAGTCAACCGAAGGGTAAAAATAATTCTCGCGACAAATATAGCTGTTTATCTGCCTCGATGAGCAGAGAATTTATTTATCAAATAATGTTTACAAATAAAATAGGTCTACATTTGTTTTACGGACATAATCCAATGAGATAATTATTATTTTTTGCCTGTTGTGGTTTCGATTTCGTAGTCCATAGTTATAGAAATTAGAGTGTCGAAACTGACTCTATTTTCCTTAAAAAAATATTTATATCACTTCAAAGCGGATTAAATAACTATGTAAAATCATTATTTAAATAAGTGTCTGCGCATCTATTAGTTCTGCCTACTCAAAATATCGTCGGATACCCACCCTATCATCTCTTGCTGGATTGGATATACCAATATACCATTCTTAGTGATAATGCCACCTACGCTCTTGTTGTCTATTATTTACAGAAGCACACAATGGAATGAAAAGCTTACAGTATTTTGTATTTCTACCTAGATTGACATGTTTTTCTTAGTTGTTAGTAACACCACTTAGGTGTAGGAGGGCTTTCACAGATCCTTTGTGGAGAGCCTTTTGTAATTTACTAAGATGAACAAAGGAGGAATGGCGCCACATTATTTCACTTTTCTGTCCACGTGCTATGGTATAAAATACCAATATGAAAAGAAATTAATATGACTCATCTCTATAATCTTAAGATAACTTAATTTGAATTTAGAGTGTACACATAATTATGTTGTTAGCTACCATGGTATGCTGACGATAATGAAGTGGTCGATCGATATTTACTTGGTGAAAATCTTAAACCACTGTGTATGTCTATCCTTTCCAAACGCCACACCGGTTGCCTAGACTTTTCAGATTATGTGCCATTACCTATATCTTTATATATATAATTCTTCTGTGAGTGTGTATGTCACTGAACTTCTCTCAAACGACTGAACCGATTTTGAAGGATTGAAGGAATGGTTTAGATTCACAAGTCAGCCCGGCAGATGGCGCTGCAGTCGATTTTTAGGTTTTTTATCCTAAACAGCTGAACTACTTTGAATGAATTTTTGTTTATACATTCAAGTGGATATGCAGGACAACGTCTGTTGGGTCCGCTAGTATACGTATAAATTATGTAACAAAATGCTGCCCTTACAATGAAAATATGAAGAATAAATAGCAGCAATGTAATTATATCGATGCTGAACCCAGAAACATAATTAAGTAGTAACTTTTTCTTTGCCTGTGTGTTGTGCACGGTAATTTCAGAATCAGCTTGCAATTTGATTTAGATGTGGTTCTCATTGATTAATATTGTTGTAAGCAAATAAATATATATTTCTCTTATTTTTCCTTTAAATTGGTTATTGACTACAAATATTTGTAATAGGTAACCACCAATCATTTATACATTACTGTTTGATAAATACTAGGAAAACGGGATTTTTTTATTATCACCATTTTCGTGATAGGTACTTTGTTTTAAATTAATAATACTGTTACAAACTTAATTTGAAGTATAGAAGAAGAAGTTAGGGTATTATTAGGGACGAATGTGGTTTGTAATTTCGTTATTTCCTTCATATTTAATCTTTATCAAAGCTACGCCAAATATTCCTAATTATGCTTACAATAACCTAACCAATATTGAACAGATACAAACACAAGGCATATAATAATAAATTATCAAGTAAGTAGCCGAAAGATAACGATAACCAAAAAAATATTATCATTAATTGAATTTACGACCCTGCTTTAAGTAATAACGATATTATTAAACAGAAATTATAATATTAAGTATACCTTCCTTACGATTCAAAATTGAGTGCATCTAGCAACTAAAGACATAATGGCGCTGAGGTTGCATAGTGGGCTTAGTGCATGCGAGTAACGCGAGTTTAGTAAACACTAATGTGAAGAGGTCAACGTTCCGGGGTTATCAATGCAGGGGCGGCGCCAAACGGTCGCATGGACGCCCGACGGCGAGCCGCCGTGCGCCGGCGCCGCAAACACCCTGCGCCACAACTACACGACGCATGCACCAACACATCACCACTCTTTTAGACATCAGTCAATCACTCTAGTTATCTCGGCAACATGCCTCAATTAAAATAAAGTACACACACATTTGTGCACACATCTGTCTTGATACGCGAGGCTGTCTGCCCAGTGCCTACATTGCTGTGGTATCTACGAACCCTCTGTGATTTCCCACTAAGAGTGACGTAACTCTGCTAGATTATATCCAGAGGTCCCTCTGTTGTTTGACCTATCGTTTTCCTAACACACTTAAGTAAAACTATCTCGAATGTTTGTTTCAAGAATGCTACCAAACTATCCACATTATATTGTTATTGTATCTACTTTGTTCCTCTTTGCTATCGTCTGGGACTAATTGAATAAACTAAACAGTGTAACACGATTTGTATTATCACAAGTTTATATAGGTCTTCGACTTTGTTATACCACTGATGAACTTTCCCTTATGTTTGAAATGTAGGCCATCATACAGCGTATCACTCCTTAGTACATAAGACACCGTTTTTCTGAATAATTAGACATTTTCTTAATTAACGAGACATTACATTGTGAAAACTTCTGAAGAAAAACGCAAAAATTTTAGAAACGACATAACTGACTTTCATGTAAATAAAAATATCTTAGAATAGGTGTGTCAAAAGAGACTGCCGATTAATAAAATCAAATCGGGCCATCTATGACAAGAAGGTACTGATAGTATTTCTAAAACAAACTATCCGTAGCTGCTTACCAGAATAAGTCAAATTTTCATGTAATATTGCACAACCACCGCGACGGATAAGTTGAGACTTTCATTCGTTTATAATGTTGTACCACAAACAAACAGGTTTAGACTGCTTTTAGTGTCGCGCTGACCACACGCTGACCGTCAGCGCTGACATTCGAGGTTATTCAATAACGCTACCTAGAATTTATACATCTCGGCTGTCAGCGCTAACGGTCAGAGTGCGGTCAGCGCGACACTAAAAGCAGTCTAAATTTCAGAAATATACGAACCGTCACGAACGAAAGACAATTGATAGCAAAAATCAATCAATTAAAATCTATAACGCTGATTATATTTAAAAACAGCCACGAGGAAAGTTCAGATCACATAAATTTATATATTTTCACAATCAAAATAAATATTAGACAACCTGAGTGGGCACAAAATAAGGTAAATAGATAAACACAAAAAATACTACCTGAAAACTGTTTGTAGCAAACATTATCCACTAAAAGGTTCGAATTTTCATTAAACGCCATTAAGACCAGTTTAAGTTGCCGAGATCTGTAAATCTTCGAAGGATTTTATCAATTAAGAGGATGAAGAAGGATAAACAATCGGAATGAGCTTCGAAAAATAAGGTTTGTAAACAAGATCCTAATCAAACGTGTTTGCTTCTATTAGTATCTATTACCACACGCTCAATTGATATCTAATTCAATGCCACAGTATTGATCCTGATGAAACACGTGCGATTTATTATTTGCCACGATTGAATGTAAAGTTAAGAATACTCAAAAGGAGACAAGTCAAAGTCAAAGCTATGATTTAATTTAAACCACACACAGGCAGTTATAAAAGTCAAAATAGAATAAGCCGTAATTCTGTCCATCAGTGAAGCTAGGTCCTCGTTCCAAAACTTAGATTTGTTTGGTAAAGAACGGGAATTCCATTGTGTTCTTTAAACAAAACTTTAGCCATTATAGGTTACGAAATCAGTCCATACAACCTACAATGAAGTAGCTAAACTGTAAACAGATCCTGTTTACGGTTTAGCTACTTCTTAGCTTGCCCTTAAACTTAATATAATGAAAAAATGTTCTAGCAACAGTATTTTAAGCTTTAAAAAAAGGTCATGTCTACAGCAATTTACAGACGGACGTCAATCCCTGCATAAAGCAATTAAGGCAAAGTCAAACGACACGCCACTATAGAAAATGGAAAAGCACCCTTATCCTCATCACAGAGAAAAAATGGAGAATAGTCGAGAATATCATTTTCAAAGGAAACTAGCCTGAAGCGGGTTTAGCAGTTGACAATATTAAAACATTCTCGGGTAAATTAAAGCAAACGTTTAAAATTACAAAAAAATATACAAACAGTAAGCTTTAAGCTTTGTTCTACGTTTGCACAAAGTGGGTTTTATGAAAAAATGGTTTCCTGCTGAAGTCGAGATGAAATATCTATATATTTAAGCAAATTCAATGAAATGCTTGAGCTTTGAAGATACTGTTTTTAAAATAATCATTTCTTCTTATTTCTATCATTACCTTAATTATCACCAAGAATCAAAACGTCTCAGTAAAAAAATAATTATTGTCTCAATAAATTGAAAACCGATAAAAATAATAAAAATCATAACTAATATCCAACAAAACAATTGTGTTCATGACCTTCG